CGGAGCTTCCAAGTTGGCAGCGGCAACAGGTACGATGTCCCGTGGCTGCAAATTATTTTGAAGCTTCCAAATATTGCGTAATTATGCAGGAGGAGACGACCCCTTCAACATCAGCGGTGAACTCTGGCTATACGACCCCGCCAGCAAATTTCAAGGACACCTCCGATGATATTGGTAGCGAAGAAACCTTGAGTTCCGATAGTGTGTGAATGTTTCGTTAAGAATTTATACGTTTGCATTTCACTTACACAAACATTTCACTTGCCTACATTGCTCATATCATCTATTGATTCAATTGTTATAGATTCGTTTGTTATAGATTTATAGTTTTTCATTCCATTCTAGCCATACAAATCTTGTCAGAGTTGCTTTTACTTTATTATATTGCTGTATTCGAATAAATAAGTACTATGCAGCTATTCATATCTTCGAACAACTGTCAGATCCGGGAATACATATACATTTGCTTTCAAGAAATCGTTTATTTTATTGAGTCGTCGTACAGCTCACATCCCGGAAATGGAGAGGGTGTGGCTGCTCCACTCGAACATGGAGGCGGCTGCGCGAGTTGTCTCAAATAAAAGTTTCCTAGGAAAAAACGCATCCAACGTTGTGTTCTAATATACAGGGGGGGGGCAAAAAAAGTCACTTTTCTTCATTGACTTTCGTGGCGCTATAAGTTACACTTTATAAATTCTAATCGGACATTTCTACCATTAAAGAGCATATTAAATACTATTATAAAACTCCGCCACAGCCTTCTGGACGAGCGCCATCGAGAGATTCTGGCACGCGACCGCGATGTGGTGCCTGAGATCAGCGAGATAGTCGATTTCTCCGCCACCGTAGACCACCCTATTGAACTCCGCCCGAACCGGGTAATTGAGGGGATTCAGGTCAGGTGACCTACTTGGATATTCCATCGTTATAACTTCTTTCTTCAGGTACTCAGCCCCCCTTTTCCACTCTCACCACTCACGCGCCGAGAGTTTTTCCAACGCGCCTTTCCGATTCCAAGTCGGTTGGCACCAATCCATGATAAGCAGTAAGGAAAGGTTCGAGAAGTGCGGGCGACGTACACTTGTTGAGGGGGAGGATATTCTTCACGTAGTGTTCGATACCGCCAGCAGCTCACTTCAGTCCGGACCCAGGTAGAAAATATTGGGTCTTTCCATTTCAGGTATTGGCCGTGGCCACATAGTTACTTTTCGTTTTTTTTTCAACCGGAAATTTCGTTCTAAAGATGAAATGTTTTGCTAGCAAGCTTGATATCATCTGATAGGAAACTTCACGTAGTTTTAGAATATCAAAATGGCTTTGGTTGAGGGAATAATTTTTGTGGATTTTTTAGTCGTTGAAATTGAAAGCGAAGTCGGCGAAAATTAGCACCTTCGACAACTGCCTCTATTTACGTATAGTCGAAGTGCTAAAATCGCTTAAGCTGCTCCATACATTTGGAAAAGGTCGAGCTAGAAGTTCCAGCAAGGGAATCTCACTAGGACGCTTTGGAACGAATTTCAAGAATTTTGAAGTTACCAACCTTCACCTCGCCGATATTGGGCAGCTCACGTCTGTTCCACCTGAAATTTTATGCTAATATTTGAATGTTTCGCTGATATGTTTTGCATGCTTCTGATAGCAAATTTTATGCTCTATAAACTACTATAGAAATCTGTTCTTTAGAGGTGTTTGCTTTCTGTTAAGTCCAGGTTATCACTACGGAACGCGAAGTCGTTGAGAACTAGCGTTCCCGTTCTCCACGAATTTTATGCTAACATTTGAATGTTTCGCTAATGTGTTCTATATGTTCTGATAGCCAATTTCGTGCTCTATAACACTGCGTTGCAGTTATTTTGAAAATCCGTTTGATGAACCTTGTTTTCAGGTGGATAATATGGAATGTCAGGTCGATAAGCATCAGCACTTAGCAGACATCTCCTCCTTTTCGCATTCAACAGAGGTATCAGTACCATCCTTGAAGCGTCTGAACCAATTTTGGGCTGTTTTGAGAGAGAGGGCATCTTCTCCGTACACTTTGCGCTGGCCACGAATTTGCGCTTCTCGAGCAGCATCAGCAGCTCTGATACCTCTGTTGAATGCGAAAAGGAGGAGATGTCTGAAGTGCTGATGCTTATCGACCTGACATTCCATATTATCCACCTGAAAAAAAGGTTCATCAAACGGATTTTCAAAATAACTGCAACGCAGTGTTATAGAGCACGAAATTGCTACAAATGAACATATACAACACCATATTACGCGGATATTCAATGTTAGCATATAACATTTCGTGGAGAACGGGAACGCTAGTTCTCAACGACTTCGCGTTCCGTAGTGATAACCTGGACTTAACAGAAAGCAAACACCTCTAAAGAACAGATTTCTATAGTAGTTTATAGAGCATAAAATTTGCTATCAGAGCATGCAAAACATATCAGCGAAACATTCAAATATTAGTATAAAATTTCAGGTGGAACAGACGTGAGCTGCCCAATATCGGCGAGGTGAAGGTTGGTAACTTCAAAATTCTTGAAATTCGTTCCAAAGCGTCCTAGTGAGATTCCCTTGCTGGAACTTCTAGCTCGACCTTTTCCAAATGTATGGAGCAGCTTAAGCGATTTTAGCACTTCGACTATACGTAAATAGAGGCAGTTGTCGAAGGTGCTAATTTTCGCCGACTTCGCTTTCAACTTCAACGACTAAAAAATCCACAAAAATTATTCCCTCAACCAAAGCCGTTTTGATATTCTAAAACTACGTGAAGTTTCCTATCAGATGATATCAAGCTTGCTAGCAAAACATTTCATCTTTGGAACGAAATTTCCGGTTGAAAAAAAACGAAAGTACTTATGTGCCAACCCAATACTTCGGTACCGTCCCCATTCGCACCGCCTCCTGGCACGCCGACTGTGGTGAATATTGATCTAGACCGTGGCGACGTTGTCGGAGCTGCTCAATGTTGGAGGGCTTCCAGATCGAGAGTACTAGTCTCCAGGTAGCTATCCATGGGTGACTCCATACTAGAAGTCTTGTCCGCAGCTGTTTGCGCACACAGTGACATGAATTCTAAAGGTCTTCTCCAGTCAGCTGCGGACTCGACACTCACCTATTACTGGTGTACACATGAAGCTGCTCGCACGACTCCTGCTTATCTGAGGAACATCTTGAAGCCATCTTCCGCTTCCTCGGTACTCGATTCATTTCCACATTCTTTCTCTGCATCCGGCTGCAGAAACCCTCTCACCTGATATACTGACTCCGTCGAAGGGACTTTTTTGCCCCCCCCCCCCTGTGGACGCCAGCCTACGATTCTTCCAATATCGTACCGTACACTATGGCTCTGAGCCAGTGGGTCTCGGCCGTACCATCCTAGCACCACAATATGGGGCTAATGTGGGCATTTCACGCACACGGATGGGTTCAAGTAGCAGCCCTCGCCCTTACCAGCGTCAGATCCCAGGTTCAGACCCCGCCACCGTCACAAGCTTTCCATCTCTCCCGCGAACCGGTACAGTCGTCTTACCAGATCCGTCTAGAAGGATGAGAACAGAGGACCTGTACATCGGGTGCCCCAGCAAGTCCTAGTATAGGCCACATGGTATGGACCGGTCCAGTGGCCCTACGAATTCCTGATGAAGTAGAAATGCGTGTCCCATCTTAGGAAATGGAGTGTTACATCTGTCTAATCGACCTATCCTTTTGTTGTGGAAATTGGGGATGGAGTGGGCCCATTGGTCGCGGTCGTTGAGCGCTCTCACATAGCACGAACAGGGCTCAAAACAGGGCTTCGAGAATCAGGCTTCCCTTCATCGGTAGATGCCCCATTCCCGGCCTCCGCAACGATACGCTCAATCGCTACGCATTGTAGCAACCTCACTCTTACGAGGAGGATGTCGATTACATTCACAGGAACTCATCGATTCCTACAAAAGAATGTGAATATGCTAGAATAGCTATGATAGACTACCTTGCCCATTAGGATTGACAACTGTATGCTGAATATTCCGATTTTCCGACAAGCTCTCCGATTTTCAGCTTCAGGGCCCACTGGCGAGATGCGGGCCTCCCAACTCCGTCACTTACAAAGGCTAGTCCAGTTTCGGCGTTTGGCTTCTGATGCGGACTCAAGGAGAGGCGACCATGGTCAGCCACTTTTCTCACCTTTAAGCTGCATCTGTAGATGCTCAAATTTATGCGAGTTGCAGAGGTTTTGGACGGTTATTACATGACTCCGTTGAATGACTCAGATATGCCCCAGAGAAGCAGGGTAAGCTTTCTCTCAACAGAAATGACAGAGGCTAAACAGATGGGTGTCCGAGCTCTGTCTTGTTATGGATTTCGTTTGATGGACGGGAGTTTTCTGTGAGTTCTGCATTTGGGAGTTACTAGCGCTGTATGAAATCTCTCCTGCATATTGAACAACCTTTCAGGTATGGGCCGGTGGCTTTATTTCCGAGGACGGCGCTGTCGTGGCGTGTCCACACTCCGGACGACATCACACCACGATCCCTAAGCTTATTCGCAATGCTGGAGCCAAAAATCGATATTCTCGTCATTGGAGCTGGTGACAAGAAGAATATTGACAAGTGAATGAATTATCATACATACAGCCGATGTCGTCGCAATCAGTCGGGGCGGTGTCAGGAGGCGTGGAATGAACCCACCAGCGGTGTTCTCTGCCACTGGCTTTTTTCTACCTAAATCGCCTGTTATTGGTGGAAAACGCGACCGGGGTGGGGTCATTCCTGCTCTCCTGACACCTCTCCGACGGATTGCGAGTATCCAAGTAGTGCAACAGTTTTTAACTAATTGTTTGCATATTTAATCCTTGAACTGGATTCAAAGCACTAACCATAAGTGTTAAGAATAGATCAATTACATAGTAAAGAACACGTAAAATTACACTTTATACACGAGTGCGGATGCGCCCTATACCCGAGAAACTAGGCTAATTACTTTTTATGGCGGTATTTATAGATTCAGTAGAAACGTTAAACTTTATGAAACCTTTTCAGAGTGAGAGCACAAATTATTGGTTTTCTGAGAGAACATAAAATCGGTCTGGAGATTT